TGCAGGGGTGGTGCACATAGTTGTGGGGAATAATTGCTTGCTGGTGGCTTCCTCACCTAGCTGGTCTACCTCCCTGCCCTGAGGGGGAGGAGAGGGAGTGTTTCATGGGCTCAGATGCTGAGGTCTCAGTCCCTCTGTCTGACCTAGGTTCCAGGCAGCCAGGGATGTGGTCTTGCAGTTCCCCTTATGAATGTGTGGAGAGTCACAGAGGGTGGTAGGGCTACCACTGGGATGGCTGTGGGCTGGTGCAGGTGTTTGTGGGTTTGACAGGTCCACATGGTTGTGGTTCTACCAGTGCCCATGCGAACATCTGGAAGGTTGTGGGATGAGGTAGAGTTACCACTGGAATAGGTGTGGGCCAGTGCAGCCACCAGTGGGTTTGGCATATCCAGCGAGTCTGGCAGGTCAGCAGGCCATGCAGAACAGGCTGAAAATGTAAGGAACTACCATATCTTCATGGTTTTTCTGCTTTTAACTGGTATCCCTATTCACTTGGGAGGGGAGGGGATGTCCCATAGGTTGTGATACTGCAGACTCAGTCTTTCTGTCTGTCCTGGGCTCCAGGACGCTTGGACCATGATCCTGCTGGTGCATGCGTGAATGTAGTAGAATGCAGGCAAGAACTCCGGACAAGGGGAGTCAATGTCATTGGGTGCACTCCTGCTGTGGTTTTGGCTCCAAGATGGCTGCATCTCACCTGCTTAGGGCAGGAGGGTTTTTTTTCTCTTTTTTGGCTTCCACTATGAGACTGTGCAGCTACACTAACTCCCAGCTACTCTCCAAGTGGGCACGGGTCCCAAATAGACTGGGAGATGGTCTTGTGCTGGGGCCACTGGTGTTTGTGGCAGCAGTGGACATAACTGGGGTCTTTTCCAACTTACTTCTCTCCACCTGATTCTCAGCTGGTCCATGTGGTGAGGCAGAGGCTGGATGCCCTGCCGTGCTCTCTGTGGTGCCATTCTGTCTTCCACGCTTCTGTTCATCACTCTCCTGGTACTCTACAATTTGATGAATTGTTCCTGTCAAAATATATTTGTTTTTCTGTTGTTTTGGTCTCTTTTTGCGGAAAGAGAGCCTAGTACCAATCCTCTCTAGTTGGCCATCTTGGGGAAAAAAAAATAAAACAAAAAAACCCTGCCAGCTTTCTTCAGTGTCCTGTGGGCAGCCACCACTGTGTCCTCTGTGATTCCAGAGGGAAACCCTCTTGTGCTTTTTGAGAGGGTCCTTCCCAGCCCAGCCCCACAGCCCAATTTCTCCGTCCCTCAGATCCTCACGGCTCATGCCTTGTGCTGAGCTTCATCCGGCTCCAGGGAACCCCAGTCCACCTGTCCTCCAGCTTTATGGTTGCTTCTTTGTACAGTCATGTCGCTCACTCCCTCAACCCTCCAGGTGTTCAGTTAGGTAAGGAAAAGATGCCTCTTCATTCAGCTTGAATTCAGGCTCGGCAGGCTGACGTAAGGATTCCCACTTTCCCCATCACTCATACTACACAGTTTTGTGCACTGTACGTATTTGAGCTTGAATTCAATTAACCTGTTGTCAAAAGACAAAATTACAGCAAATTTAGTTTGAAGATCTTAAATGGCTTTTATTTGTAATTCTAGAATCAGGCAATACCTCGTTTTATGAAACAGAATGAGTGTTCCAGTGAGCTGAGCAGAGGAGGCTGGTTTTATAGACAGAAAAGGGCTTGGGAATGCAGAAACAGAAAACAAAAGTGTATCGGTAGTTTCAAAGTTACTTTTCTTGTAAATATTAAAGCATATTGGAGGTCCTTATCATGCCAGCTAAACTGGCCTTTTTGGGGATTTGGCTGTTACCTTTCTCTCTCCTGGTGTTTTAGAAGTTTTAGATCTGGTTTGTTGGTTTGTTACTCCATCATAGTGACTCCATTGTGGTCTGGTCTGTTGGGCCTAGTGCAGGAACTCAGTCCAAACCAATGGCCTCCTATAAATTTTATTTAATACTGGTAAAATTTTTTAGACAAAATTATAACCAAATGATTCTGGACAAAGATGCTATAAAGTCTGGGATGCTAGAAAAAATGTGTAAGAGAAGTCAATGGTAGTAAATAATTTTAGGCTAATGTCATACCCAAACAGCCAAACAACACTTTTAGTTGTGATGAGAACTGGTGTATTCTGAATTTTAATTTTCTGTGGTATAGAAGAGGTAGGGCCCTTAGCCATCTTATTTTTGTTAATACCTGCAAATCTCGACCAGAAAAAAACAATCTACTATGTCTTGCTTTCCATCATTTTCTCTATAGACATGGATATTATCTTGAAGTTTTCTTCCATTCACAGTTGATTTTGCTAGAAGGTGCTAGAAGTTATAAAATAGGAGGAATAGGGCCCAGGAGGTTTTATCAGAGAAAAAGACATTTCCATCTGAAATCCTTGTCTCCCTTTTCCTACTTAACTACTAATTTTGATCTTTAATCTTATGGAAAATTGTGATGTGGCCATTATTTGTGCTAGTGGAAAAACGTTGGCTTTGGAATACAACAGATATATGTTTGAATCTTCGGGCAATTTATTTGGGGTCCAGTGATATTTATAAAGGACCTACTGTGTGCCAAACATGATTAATCCCTGGTGATATAAAAAAGAGTGAATCTCAATCTCTTGTCTTATGTATGGTACAATTTCTATAGCTTTATGGGAGAAAAATACCGAATAGCAGAGTGAGATTCTGTTAACTTCTGACATTCTGGGGTTTGGGCAGTATTTTGGCAGCCAAGATTGCTGAGGCATTATGTTTGACATTATTTTGACAGTGGTGCTGAGTACAGAAAAGACTGCAACAAAATACTTACTGTTAGGCCATTTTCAGTTACTTCCTGAAAACATGACATTCAGAAAGCATTAGGTCAAACTGATACATTTGTTTCTGTATATTCTGGAATCTTTCCCATGGTTAACCAATCCAGGATTTGCAGGCTGCAACATTTAACCTTTTGTGATACTTGAAAAACATGATAAAGGTTTCCTGGTTTCATAAAAATAAGCAATAATAGTTTGGCAAATTTATTCAAAACTTTTCTTATCATTCTAAGGAATATTTCTATAGAGCCAGATGCTTTTATTATTGTTTTTTATTTCATTTGTCTGTTTATCATTTTTCATTATGATAATCTTTGAATAAAATGGATGAGAGTAAAATAAAAATTTCTTACTAATATATGCTCACAAACATTGTTTGCATTCTTTTTTTTGTAACTTTTATGTGTGTAAAATTACCAAAAATCTAATTTTCCAAATTTTTCATTTTGCCAGAATGACTGCTATTAACATTTGATTTTTCCTAAAGATAAAGCTTTCTATCAGTGTTTATCATGCTCTGACGTTTTTTTCTCTTTTATGGGGACATACATGTGCCTCCTCTTTCAGGAAGCCTCCCTGGTTACCTTTCTTCACCTCTCATGTGAATGTTCATCCAGGATTGGTCATATTGTTTTTTGGTAGTTCCTCTTTAAGGAAAATTTAGATGAATATGCATTAATACCTTTCGTCTTTCTAATTCCTACAGATACATTGTATTTCTTAAATCATACAGCACTTCTAGTAACATTTGTGTTTGTTTGCTTGTTTTAAATAAAGTGTTTTGTTTAAATAATTCTTATTTAAATGCATTTTTTATTCAGCTTATGTTAATTTAAATACTTGGATTGAGTGGAGCTGGGAAAAAGGATGGTTCATATAAAACAATCTGGAGTAAGCAACTTTACTGTTTTCAGTAAGTACAAACTATTGGCCATGAGATGATTTTCATTGGCAGATGGCAGAAGACTCAAATTCCATCCTCATGAATTTTTCAGGCCTTAAAGTGTGCATTTCCTTAACTCATACTATTTGACCACAAGGCCAATCCTTGAGCCTCTTAGTTCATTTTAAAAATTATTTTGAGGCTGTACAAGTAAAGCAATAGAGCAATTTATGTTGGAAGTTTTTATTGGGTGGCATAAGTATTATTTTAATATTTTTGGAGGTTCTTAAAATATGATTATCTTCATTATTATCATTACTGTTGTCATAATCCTACTGTTATGCATTAATCAAAAAAGTATATGCATTTGTTTAAAGTTATATTTTATTTAGTTATTTAGGACACAATTATTAACGCATCTTCATTGTCATATAGAGTTTTTCCCTCTTCTCCTAAATTTGAACTAAGATATGATCTTGGCCAGTCCGGTTGGATGAACATATCTAAAAAATGAATCTATATGAACACTACTATGGTCACACGAGGCAAATAAAACTGTTTGAAATTTTTTTAAATTATGCAGTGTTGGAAACAAAGAAATGGCTTAATTTGGGCTCTAGGAGGATCCCATCCACAATAGGAGACAGAGCTGGAACAGACAAAACACAGCATAGTACAAATTAAAATGGGGGGGTGGGTGCTAACTAGAGTGTTGCACGGACACAGAAGAAGGGACAATTATTTCTGCTGAGGAAAGATGAAGAAATAAGCTGGGCCTTCAAGGAGGTGTGAAAAGATGGCAGGTTGAAAGGTGCTGTGAGCTCAGGGCCCTTGGGGAGAGTCAGAATTGGCCTGTGTCTGTGGGCGTGGGGTTTGGGGAATGCCGTCCCTGTCCTGCAGTTTTGGTACCTCTCACTTTCTCTCTCTTTTGCTTTCATTCCTACTCAGTTCCATCTCAGTCTTCTTTTTGGCTCACCTTGATGTGGGTATTCTGGCTCAGCTCTGATTCTACATCTCTTTCCCACCCTGCTCCTCTGAGCTCCAGAACCGAGGATTCTGACCATCACTTCGATGTCTCCAGGCACAGAAAACTCCCATCTGTTCTTTCTTAGTTACTCCCTATATAGGGAAGGGGAGTGTTCCAAGAGATGTTGTATTTGGTTGTATGCATGAGGGGTGGGCTGGGGTGGGGTGGGCAGTGGTAGCAAGAAGATGGAGCAGGACTCAGGGCTGAGAGCTAGGTGTCTGGTGGGCACTTTGGTGAATGCTCACAGGCAGTTCCTCTCTTCCAGGTTGCTGGAGACCTTGTGAGGCGCTTACACCTTGAAGCCCATGTAGACAAACCTGTGGCCACCTACAGTGGGGGAACCAAGCGGAAACTCTCTACAGCCTTGGCTCTTGTGGGGAAACCTGACATTCTTTTACTGGTGAGTAGAGGAAATATTAGTAATATGGCAATGTTTCGAAAGAAGATACACATTACATGTGCTTTTTTTTAAAACTTATTTAACCTATCAGAGTTCTTTATGATAATCTTTGAATAAAATGGATGAGAGTAAAATAAAAATTTCTTACTAATAAAAAAAAAAAAAAGGAAAAAAAAAAAAAAAAAAAAAAAAAGAACTTGCAACACTTTGTCCTATAAACTGCTTTCCCTAAGTCAGCATTTCCCAAAAGAATGTAAAGTATCTGAGGAATTTTATAGAAATAAAACATGTATCTTTTGGTAGATTCACTTATATTCACAAAATTAAAAATTTAATAAAATTTTAACATTAAAACAGTACTTAAAGAGAATATTATAATTCACCTGTAATCTGTAAACCAATACATGTTGAGCATTTCTAATCCAAAAATCTGAAATCTGAAATGATCTAAAATCTGAAAGTTTTTGAGCCCCAACTTGATGCTCAAATTAAATGCTCATTGGAGCATTTTGGATCTTGGATTTTTAGATTAGTGATGCTCAACCAGTAAGTATAATGCAAATATTCCGAAACCTGAAAAAATCAGAAACTTGAAACTTCTAGTCTTAAACAGTTTGGATGAGGGATAGTCATCCTGCATATGTTCTTCCTCAATAATGAAAACTTATTGCTTTTAAGTTTTTCTCTGTCTGGAGATAGTGTTTATCAGGGCTACAGTGACATTAGTCCCTAGTGAATCCTGAAGATGAGTGTGTGGTGCAGGATGCTGGGAGGGGGAGGGAAGGGAATCTAGCAAGAGGTTGGAGCTTATGGAATGGCCTTGAGACAAGTCAGTCTGTGAGCTCTTGGGAAATGCAATTCAGTTTAGCTGGATCAGAGCATTCATTGGAAGTGGTGATTGTCAAGAAACAGAGCCAATTGTCTTGCATTTCAAAAATTGCTATAACTACAAATAATGCCATTCAAACCGTAAATCAGTCTATTGGTCATATGCCATATAGGATAGATTCTAATCACTAGAGTACTCTCCAGGGCCTCACACTGATGGAAAGTCTGAGGGGTGTCAACATGTATAGGAAACAAAGCAGATTCTTTTTTTCTGTTCTTGAGTATCAAATGAAAACTGCATTTAAGTGGGGGAGTTAATAGGGATTTAGAAGGTCTTTGTTGGAAAAATGGTCATGTAATTTACTGGTTGTCTCCTGGAAACCCACCTTAATATTTTTTTTACTTGCTCTAAGTTTGCTTTTGCAAAATCTGAAATCGAGGTTTATTGGATAGCTTCATATTCTAGAATCTGACAATAAAAATGAACATTTGTACAATTTTGTAGTTTAAAAACTACATTTTCCTTTCAAAATGAGACAGGCTTGTGCTCAAGAGTTAAAAAGACATGGATGTTCATTACTTTCAGCAGAATTTCCCCACACCGAGCCTTGCCCAGTGCCCCTCCTAAGTCCGATGAAGGGACCTCTGCTCTGGAGCCATGTCCCCATTCACTGAAGACCCTCATGTTACTCTTCTTTGCATATTCTTGCTCTTGCTCCTTTGGATGCCCAGGACTTGTGGCATAATATTCAAAGTAGGGAGTCTGGAGCCTGATTGACCAGGTTCAGATTCTGCAACTTCCTGGCATGTGACCTTGCATGCTCTATGCCTGTTTTCTCCTCATCTGAAAATGGTCCTGATAATGGTGTCTGCCTCATGCAGCCATTGAAAGCAGTTTATGAAATGCTTCACATTAAGCACATAGGCCAGTGCCTGGCATACGATAAACTCACAGTAAGCATCAGGGAGTGTGATGATTGTGACAGTTCTGAGCATTAGCTTAAGAGATGCGTTGAAGGGCCTTTGAAGTTCTCCACAGAGAGACAAGAAGTGACTCTTGGAGCTGACATCAAGGCAGGAATCGAGAAAATTAAAAATTACACATCCAACTCTCTTACAGAACAATGCATGATCATGCCTTTTATTTACTTATTTTCACAACTAGTACACATATATCACTTGATTTGCAGAAAAGACCAGGTCTTTACTTTTCTGTTCGGTGCCTTTTTTCTCCCCACTACTTTCCTTCTATGTTTTTCTGTGGGGAAGTTGATGATCCCACATTTTTCTTAAGAAAAATGTGTTTAGTACTTCCTGACTACAAACAGTACAGAAATACATCATGCAGTTTTGTAAGGTTTCTCTCAAACGTGGTTCTAATAAGAGATGCTTTCATGTTTATTGAAGGAGAAGGATTCAGATTCCAAGAAATATTAATTTATTTGATATTGCTAAGTAAATGAATCCTTTTTTTTTATATCACAATTCAGATTCCAAGAAATATTAATTTATTTGATATTGCTAAGTAAATGAATCCTTTTTTTTTTTTATATCACCCATCTTTCTAGGGGATATTGAAAGGAAAAACCCCAGCCTGAGCGCAAAATAAGACACACCAGGAGACAGGAACTCAACCAAAGTGTACCAGGCAGGCAAAATGAACAAGCAGGCCGCCCTCTCGAGAGTGGGAGCAGCAGCAGCGAGAGTCGGGTGGGCCTTTTATATCCAGTTAGGCCGAGCTGGACTGTTCCTATTGGCTAAGAAGGAAGGGGAGGGAAGCGAGCAGGGTTTAAGCTGAGCTGGGATTTTCTCAAAGGTGGGCAAAATTGTGTGCATGGGAAGGGGACATGGCAGCTAGGGGGTTTTTCTGAGTGGGGGTTTTCCAGGAAATTTTCTCAGGTGCCATTTTGTGTATCTCAGTCTTTAAGGCCATTTTACTTTTCTAGCAAAGGGTATATTAGCCAACATTCCTCCCTCTTTGGTCTTAAATTGGGAGAAGGGCGTTACTATCATCTCTGGCTACTTCCTCCTGAGAAGGGGTGAAGGGGGGGGACTTGGGAGGCGAGGGAGGAAGGTTTGCTTAGTCTAATATGAGAGACCATAAACCCAGGTGCTGAAGATGGTAATTTCTTCTGTTGAGAAGGCGAGGAATGTCCCTTGGAGCCAAAGGTAACTAGGCCCTCAAATATGTCTTTCCCTTGTTGGATGTTAGGGATAACCAACTGTCCTCCTGGAGGGCATGGAGGAAAAATAGGAGATGTTTCCTCACCATCTGGTAGGGCAGGTTCTCTTGGAAGGGAAGTTGACTGATGGACACCCAAGACACCTCGTGAATTTGTTCCTGTTTTGTTGATGTAGTGACAGCATTCTTCATTGAGAAAGATGCAGGTGCCACCTTTTTCTGTGGTGAAGAGAGCTGCCTGGGCTATCCAAATGATTTGGCATTGTAGGGAGGTCAGGGCCTCTGCTGAAGCCTCGACAGCCACCTGGAGTTTTGGGGATAGATCTCTAGTGGGGTCTACAGAATGGATAAAAGCCCCTGTGCCTAGTCCCATGGCCACTAGAGAGGAGGCTAGGGAGACCCCAGTGACTAAGGGGAGAAAGACCACACGATTTTGGTTTTCTGGGGGTTAATTAGGGCAATAATTTCTGCTTGGCTGTAACTGATAAGTTGAGGGATCAGTGAAACAGGTAGGACTGATGCGTAAGTCTTGGACTATCTGGTAAATGTTGGGAGGGGGAGTTTGTGGGCCGAATGAAACCCTTCCTTAATAGCTCATTGATAATTGGTTGTAACCCTAGCAGGCTGCTGGTAGGAAGAGAGTACTGGGCCTGGCGAGGGAAATATTGGGGGTCTCTGAGGGAGATTCGAACTGGTTGGCAATGGGCTAAAGAGGGAGTTGAAGTATCCCAATCTTAGGGATTAACTTTGGATAGTGGCAGGGGGAGATTTGGTTGATCTGGAGGTTGGGCCGCTCCCGTGACCAATAAGAGCAATGAAGAGTATGGCGGGGGCCGGCCCGGTGGTGCACTGCTACAGTGCGCCACTTGGGAGCGTGGCGGCGCTCCCACCGAGGGTTCGGATCCCACATACAGACCGGTTCCCGCTCACTGGCTGAGCGAGGTGCGGGTGCGACACTGAAGGTTGCGATCCCGTTGCCGGTCCTGGTCCAGTACGGGCGTGACACTGAGGGTTGCAATCTGTTGCCGGACATGAAAAAAGACAAAAAGGAAAAAAAAAAAAAGGGTATGGTGGAAAGAGATGCAGGCCTGGCACCTGGCCAATGTGTCTCGACCTTACAAGGGGGTTGGGCATTGTGGCATCAAAAGAAACTGATGAGCAAAGGAATGGTCCCCGAAGTGGCAAGTTATCCAGGGAGTTTTTAGTGGAAAAATGGTTTTGCCTCCTACCCCAACAATGGGCAGTGTGGAAGAGGAGGTAGGTCCCTAAAACTCTGTTAAAACTGAGAAAGTGGTGCCGGTATCAAGGAGGAAAGAAATGGGGCAGCCCTCAACTGCGAGATGTACCCTGTGCTCCCTGGTGGTGGTGACGGCTGTCGTAGGTAGTGGGTGCCCTGGACCCTGTCAGTCATCGGACGCCAGTCCTAGAAGGCTGGGTGTGGGGTTTGAGATAGGTCCAGTCACCCTACAGAGGCTGGGGCAATCCATTCCCCAGTGACCCCGAGTGTGGCATTTCAGACATGGCCTTGGTGGGGGCCTGGGGTTGGAGTATGATCGTGCCCAATGTCCTTCCTTACCACACTTGAAACAGGGACCCAGGGGTCCCTTTAGTGTGGTTGGGCCCCTTGAAAATGCAGTTGGTGGTGAGGGCGTGGGCCCCTTTAAGGCCTGTGCCAGTTGTTGGTACTTTTGGCGTTTGGCCTTATCGTCTCGGCCATTATAAACCTTGAATGCGGCAGCCAGTACTTCATTTTGAGGAGCAAGGGGCCCCCTTTCCAGTTTCTTTAATTTGCCCTTTATGTCAGGGGAACTCTGGTTAAAGAAATAGGTCATGAGAAGCTGTCTTCCCTCTGGGGTCTCTGGGTCTATATTAGTATATTATCAAACAGCCTTAGTGAGGCGATCTAAGAAAGAAGGACTTTCATTTTTATCTTGTATTATTTCTTGGATATTTTCATAATTAATAGGTTTTTGTGCAGCCGTTTAAGCCC